GGAGGGTGGGGTGGTTCGCAGGCACACGAGGCGGAAGGGCGGAGCCCTAGCGAAGCCTATCGAACGAGACACACCCAACACGACCCTCCTAAACCAAAGCCCTGGGCATTCCGATGCCCGCGCGGACTCCTTCATTTTCTCAGACCTGGGTCGGAGGCTCACGAGAGGTCTCTACGCCAGCTCAGGACTTAACCGACAGCTACGGCTCACGCTATGTACTGTACAACCTACCCTACGTAGCGGAGCCGCGCCCGATCAGGGGCCGCGGTCCGTGCGTTCTAACGCACCGCGGCGACCGATCAGGGTCCGCACGCCAGCTGCTCAGGGGGCTGCACGGGTGCAGCACACAAGTGCCGGCTGGCACGCGGAAGCACTTAGACAGCGCGGCTGGCCAACGGGCCGCAGACCGCGCAGAAAAATGCTGCAGGTTCCGTTCAGAGAACCTGCCCGCAAATTAATGCCGAGCGCAAGGCCGGTGGACGCTGTTTGAGAAGTCTCTTCGCCGGCGTCCTCAATCACATTCCCTGTCTCGAGGTCCTTGGTAGTGCGCCGAATGCGCTGTTCGACGTCCTGAACCGGCTGGCCTGAGCATCAACTCGTCGCCACTTCTTGACTGGAACAGGTGGCCAGACCTCACGTGGGGCTATACCTTCAACGACTGGTGCCCTAGCTGTAGACGACGAAAGACGGTTCCTGCTCCACATCAATAACTGGTCCCCCTGCTTGTGGTACTTGAGGTTCTCCTGAACTTGGTTGCTGTTGACCTGCTTGTGGTACTTGAGGTTCTTCTGAACTTGGTTGTCGCTGTTGACTTGCTTGTGTGCTTGATGTTCCTGTCCATCAAGAGGGATCCTCCAGATCCACCTGATTCTTTACTGTTTTCCTGTGTCACATCGATGTAGCCAAGCTTCTCAGAATCAAACCGAAGTCTCTCTTTCGCTTGTTGTAGATCACGTCCCTGCTGGCACACCACAAAGCAAATCCCTACCTTGGCCAAAGCACCACGTCGGCCTTGGCGCCACACTGTCAAAGGTTGTCCTTCTCCAGAGACATGCCCTTCCAGTTGTCGGCGTGGTCGTCCTCGGCTGGCCCTTGCCAATCTCTCCTTGGCGTCCTGCTCAATCATCGCCTCCCGGGCTGCAGTTCTCAACTCCTCAGCTCGGCGCCGTGCAACATCCACACTGGTACTCAGTTCATAGCTCTGGCTCTGACCGTCACTGATCATGTCCAGGGTCACACGAGGTTGCTTCCCCAGCACACGTTGCGCCGGGCTGTAGCCGCTTCTTTTGCACATAGTTTGCAAGCTCCAGGACACCTCACAGATCAATGCTTCTTCAACCTCGTCCAAGTCACGAGGCTGCGCCAGCTCTCTGGACCGACAATAAATGTTCTTGAACAACCCGCCACGCCTTTCAGCAACTCGGTTTTCAAACAATGCGTCCTGATCGGTGAACAACGGTTGGATACAGCGTCGTTCCAACCCTGCTTGAAATGCTGCTCCAGTGAACTCAGTCCCCTGATCCAGGATCATGAACTCAGGAGGCCCAAAGGTACGAAGCCACAAACGATCAAATGCCTTGAAGGTGAGCTGGGCCGATCGTCTGGTGTGGTCAATGAGCCCGAAGGTCGAGTAGAGGGTGCCGAGGCAAGTGATGTTCAAGACAGGATGTCCCGTGCGGTTATCCAGCCCGTGGACAAACAGCACGTCGATGCCGATGACCACGTTAAAGTCGTAGCACCGAGGAGTAGAGGCAGGCAGACGGGCCGGCGGCCGCCTCTCAAGGTCACACCCTGAGCAGGAAGAATTTCACGCTGCACACAACTAATCACATCAGCCCAGCAGTCAGCGGCTTTCAACAACCGCACAAATTCGCTCTGACTCGGGTGCCCAAGGTTGATGTGGGCACGGAGGATGGCCTTCTTTTCTTGATTGGTCAACTCTTGGTAGGTTGCCAACACGCTGCCGGGGCCCGGGTAGCTGGCCGCATACACGACAATGGTCCCGGTGTCAGGTTGTCCGTAATGACCATTTGGTTGTCCTTGTGCTCCTTCTTCACGCCAACTCCATTGTCCCCTGTGAAGATCGGCCGTCCAACGAAGATGTCGATAGCCAGGGCCCACAGCGGGCATGAAACCATCATCCTTTGCCAGCAAGCAGAGCACCATATTGTCCTCGACTCGCCTCCACCGTCTCTTGTGCTCGCTGGATCCAGTAGTCGCGCTCGGCCGTGGTCGGCAAGGACCACCCCAGTGGTCTCGGAGTTCCCGTGTTCGTCCTCGCAGGCTCTTCGTAGCCGGGCCGCAGATTCGATCGAGCCTCTCCAGCAGCATCTTCTTTGTGCCCTTCTCCATGGTCACCTGGATCGGGTCGTGGGTCATGTCCTGGAGCTCCTGGATAAAGTCATAGATACTCATATAGGGTTGACACTCCCGAGAGGTCGTAGTCGAGGAAGTTCCCGTGCTCGATGTCCGTCATGCCTCGTCCATGTTGAAAAGCACACGTTTCTTGAGCGGGGCCTCCACAATCCTTCATCCGTTATCTGCTCTAGCTCTCGCAGCCTCCTCTGGTTCAGCGCGCCACAGGAGCGAAATTCTTCAAGCGGTACACCAGGTTCATCAGTGGTCGTAGCCACCCGTGCTCAGGAGCTCGCTGTAGGCTTCCCACCATTTGCTGGCTGGCCAGGGTGCGGTCACCACGCTGGTCGCACATCCAGGCCTCTCGCCCTTTCCAGGTCACCTTCTTCACCTCGTTCTGCTGGCACCAAACACAGCTTTGCTCCTAGGATCGGGGACATCTGCTCGTGTGGGATCCTGCCCCTCTGGTTGTACTTGCAAGCAGGGTCGCTTCGGAGACACACCCAGATCAGCAGCTGGTGCTCGTGAGGTCTCCCGATGGGCATACAGGGCAGCCACGGCTCTCTGCAGGAGGGTCGCACCTCATCATGTTCAGGGTGTCCTCCAGACCGAGTGCCGAACTCGCAATTGGTGGCGCGGCCCTAGAAGATCTCCAGCATCGTCCGGCAGGTTTCTCGGCCTTCGCCTTTGCCAAGATGAAGTTCTCCTGCTGCCCTTACCCCAAAGTTTTGCTGAAGATGCTCGTCCATTTTCTTCAAGGTTTCCCGGCCCACAAGGCCATGTTGTGCTGCTGTGTCGCTAAGTGCTCGTCCAGGGTGCTCGTTTGTTGTCGCAAAGCGGTAGTTGAGGTACGTATCCCTGTGGTTGTGCTGGGGCTTATTGTGGTCGGGCAAAGGCGGCTGAGCGAAATCTTGTACATCGCAAACAGATCGACGGCTTCACTCATATATTGCTGCACGGCGGAACCCACTTCGGTCTGAGCATAAAAGCCCTGATGGCCCGCAACAGGCGGGCGGGCACCCGGCGGTCCTTCCCACTTGCTTTGCCTTTGCCCTTGCTCTTGCCTTTTCCTTAGCCCTTGCCTTTGCTAAGCCGATCCTTGGCCTCATCGCCGACGTACTCCACGGCATCCACCTCGTCGAGCTCGGCCGGCGGCTGGTCCTCGATGATCATGTAGGTCTCGCCGGTGTTCGTCAAACTCGAGCAGGTCCTCAAAGGCCTCGGCCACGTAGGTGGTGGCCAGGCGGTCGTCATCATCACCGGCGCCCCCGGCGCCGTGCTGCCAGAAGCTTCTGGCCCGCTGGTTCGGCTCGTCCACGGTCTCTCCAAAGAGTTTCCTGGTCGCCTTCTTTCCACCTTCGGGAAGTTGATCGAGCCGTCTGTCAAGACCTTGATCCTCTGCTTCTGGTCCTCCGTGAAGTTGCCCTGCTTCAACAAGAGTTGCCCCAGCAGGTGACTCCTTGCCGAAGTCCTAAGAAGATCAAGGCCTTGCCGCTTCAGCTGTCCGAACGCAGCCTTCTTAGCCACTCAAGCTCTGATCCGCACGGCGACGGCCCTTGAAGATCGCCTGATCAAAGGCCTGCTCCAGCTTAGCATCCTTTAGGTAGTCGTGCGCCTCCTCGATCGTGGCCACTGTCCGCTCATAGCCCTTGGCATCGGTGATCTCATCCACGGACATGTGGCCCAGTAGGGCTGCCAGCCTGCTCCCGTAAGGAATCGCGTCGATGATCCGCTTCCTTATGAGCGTCCCAGGACTTGGAGCAGCTTCCATGTTGTAGTCCACGAAGCGCTTCTCGGTGGGTGTGTCGGCATTGCCAAAACTCAGCTGCACAGCAAAATGCTCTGCAGCTCCACGCCAGCAAACTGCTGGTTGCAAAAACTCGGGCTCCGAAGTTGGAGCCGCACACGAAGACAAAGTTCAGAAAGTCCTTGAAGACGAGGCACAAAAGCAGCCGGGGCTTCCTGAAGTACTCCCTGATCGGGTATTCGAGGTCGCGGAGACTCGGGCAGTCAATGGGCTCCTGCAGGCGCGTCCGCCCCAGCCCCAAAGGTCACAGCTCTGGCCGCTCACCAGAGCTCCGCTGCCATGAATAACCGGGCAAAGCGCAGCCTACGAACTGCAAACCCTTCCTTCTCGAGACTCAAGGCGCCTGCGTCCGAAGCAAGTCTGGTCCGCTTGCGAAGGCATGCTAACCCTGATGGATTGCACAACAAGAGCTAACACTGGACATGCTTTGGGGCACTTTCTGTTGGGTTTCACAATCGCGCGACAGAGAGCGAGCGAACGAATGCACGAGAAACACAAAAAGTCGTAGTCAGCTACGCACTCATGGTGGCAAAATCTAGCATGTCGGCATTAAAATGGTCGGCGGAAAATTCGGCAACCAGAACGACCGCTGATTCAGAAACCCGCCATGATTCAGAGACCAGCCGTGATTCAAAAACTGGAGGCAACTGAAACGGCTGATTCGGCAACCGGAACGGCTGATTGGGAAACTCAACGGACTGATTCGGAAACTACACCTGGGTTCAGAAACCAGAACGGCAGATTCAGGAACCAGATCAGTTGATTCAGAAAACGGATTCAGAAACAAGACGCAGCAGTCGGAAACCAGGATTACGGAACAGTTGCCACGAGCATAGCTCTGGGACATGGATGCTCTGGTCCCACATCNNGCACTAGACCATGGACGTCATTGGGTTTTGGACATGGTTGCTCTGTTCCCAAATCGCACTAGACCATGGACGTCATTAGGTTTTGGACATGGATGCCGTGGTCCCAAATCGCCCTAGACCATGGACGTCATTGGGTTTTGGACATGGCTGCTCTGTTCCCAAATCGCAGTAGACCATGGAGGTCGTTAGGTTTTGGACATGGATGTTGTGGTCCCAAATCGCACTAGACCATGTCATTAGGTTTTGGACGGCTGCTCTGTTCCCAAATCGTAGTAGACCATGGAGGTCGTTAGGTTTTGGACATGGATGCTGTGGTCCCAAGTCGCACTAGACCATGGACGTCATTAGGTTTTGGACATGGATGCCGTGGTCCCAAATCGCACTAGACCATGGACGTCATTAGGTTTTGGACATGGGTGCTCTGGTCCCAAATCGCACTAGACCATGAGCGTCATTAGGTAGTTGCTCAAGCGCAGTCGTTGAACCGC